TCTACTGATTAATTTTACTGTCGTCTTACTGTCCCAATGAATTGAATATACTAATGGATTTTTCTTCTTTCTCCGCTTACCTGATCTTTTACCAGTGGTATTTCCTCCACTTCCACTGCTTCCTCCTGTCCCCAGCGTCGAGTTGTATCCTGCATTCCCTGTTGTATTAATGGACGCATCACATCCTGGATGTTGTTCTGACATGTTTCTAACTCCCCCTCCTCCTCCAGCAATGATCAAAGGCGTGTTGTTTCTTTTCACCACAAATGTACCTCCACCACCTCCGGCAGTTTTTGGGTTGGCATTTCCTCTTCTCCCTTTTTGACCAACAAGTACAAAGATACTCTCATCTTTGGTCAAATTAAAATTTCCAATCATCCTTGCTCCTCTTCCTCCGTTGTTGATGTCACTGTCCTCACCGTACCCCCCTGAGGCTCCTATTGCTTCCATTCTGTATTCGCCAGTGCGTGGCACAGTCCAGAGTTGAGTACCGTTGGAGACCGTAACTTGTCCGCTATGATCCTGATCTGTGTAGTGACTACCGATTGAGTCTGGACCCTGAGATCCACTCTGACCCAGGTTTGTAAACACAGCTGTAAATTCTATTTAATAGACGTGAAATAAAATGAAAGTTACGATGTTAGTTGGAAATTTTTCAAATTTTCTTCGTCACTTCAGTGTTGCCATTACAATGGAAATGTTCTTATAGTAACGTAAATTATTGGATCACACTGGAACGGAAACGTCAGTCACTTGGAGTGTTCGAATTTTGTCGTGCTGTGCTATTTTCTAAAGCCTGCTCACCATTGTATTTTTAGAAAGTAGAAACCTTTGATAGTCGGGTATTGACTGACTTCACTGCATTTGAGGATTACATTCGACAATAAGATATCTGAAACAAAATTGTGTTTTTGAACAGACACATGCTACTTTCATAAACTGTAGAACTCAGCTGTCACTGAATTTTGTTGTTGGGAGATCTAAAACTCCCAGGAGAGGACGAAGTTTCTTTCCCATTCCCATAAATTGAGTCGTTTTTCTCGTCAATTTATTCAAGATCGTTGTTCGGCGATCACAGGTGATGGTGAAAGGAAGAGAGTGAAGAATAAAGGAATTCCTTATGACCAAAGCTGATAAGTCAATTGAGTAATGCCCTGCGGAGCAATTTTCAAATGACTGGAATAAGTTATCGGGGATTTCATTGACGTTGCCTTACTTCGCCCTGTTATTGGTCCATAGAAATCGCGCCGTTGAGATAACACACAGCGAATAATATCCGAGCGCTTGTGTTTGAACTGGAAATGAAATATCATCTAGTATAAATTGATCTTTTCAAGAGGTACCACTCGGGCGATATTGTCATGCAGGCCTTACCTTGTACACAGCCATATAGTTCAACCCCCATTGATATCCAGTTCTGCCACTCTACTGGTTTAAAACGAATGTAACGCGCAGTGATTGGTGGGTTAAGGTCGTGATAAACTACGGTATTCTGATCTGTGTTTCCATGAAAAACCTTTCCATCAACAACATAAAACATAACAGCCTTTCAATTAAATCTTTAATGTAAGTGCATGACTGTTGACTTCCTTCAGTATAATAGTTACAAGGCTCCCTCGGTCGTATCGGGGGGCGCTGTTGTAGAAGCTTGTCGCAGCAAG